TGTACCGCACATTTGGGCTCCGTCTACGGCCTGCAGACTCCCGTGTGGCCAGGTGATCCCGCCCCTGAGGCGCCATGCCTGACGCCGGGTTGGAGCGGGGCCTGGATGGGAGAACTGCTGTGGTGAGAGAGGGGCGAATGGTGGCAACTGTGTGGAAGCACGTCTATGGACTGGGTGAGTTTGTGGAAAAAGCCGGAATGATGGAGAACCCTGACCTGAACCCTGGATCAGACCTGGGCTGAACTGTAATTGTCTGGACATATAGGTGAAGGACCAGATAGGCTCGTTGTCTGCTAGAGCACTTGGCTATGATAATGGCTATTGACCTTGAGAATAAGGTATTTAATTAATCTTTAATGAATCTAAAAGAGCTCAGTTCTTTCCATTGATTGGCCAGTGGGTTCCAACTAGCAAACACAATCCTTCTTGGCTCCTAAGAGAAGATCATCAACACATTCTGTCTATCAATACACAATGAAAAAAATGAATATAACTTTAATTCAGAGGTCTCTGCAGTAAGGGACTTTAGAATCTAACGAATAAGAGTGAGAAGTTTGAAAAGGATATGGGAAATGGTAAGGAAAATGACAAAGAGAAAGAGGAACAAAGAAAGAGAAAGGTCAGTAAAGAGAAAATACTACAATACAGTTTCATGTGAACAGTTATTATTATATGACACCGATAAATTTCATGAGCCTTAAGTACGCATATCTCGATTCATTTTGAGATGTACATCACTGAAAGTAATGATAACTTGCAGTTCAGCAAGTCATATGTTTTCCCTAACCACAATAACAGATTGTTAATTCCCAAGTTATTTTAGAACTGTTTTATACTATTATAGTATTATTTAATATTTTGAATTAGCTTATATATATATATATATATATATATTATAGTTTAAGTTTTAATAATTTTGCTATGCTTTTGCTTTTGTAATTTTTAGCAGTTAAATATTTTTTATATAACTTTAAGTTTTTTTTTGTAATTGTACTACTTGCCAGCAGCTATCACTCTCCAGCTCTCGCCTGGTCACCCACTGAAGCAGGGTTGTGCCTGGTCAGTACCTGGATGGGAGACCTCCTGGGAAAACTGGAAGAGGTGCTAGTGAGGCCAGCAGGGGGTGCTCACCCTGTGGTCTGTGTGGGTCCTAGCGCCCCAGTATAGTGACGGGGACGCTATACTGTCAAAAAGCACCATCCTTCGAATAAGACGTTTAAACCGAGGTCCTGACTCTCTGTGGTCATAAAAAATCCCAGGATGTCTTTCGAAAAGAGTAGAGGTGTGACCTCGGCATCCTGGCCAAATTTACCCATTGGCCTCTGATTATCATGGCCTCCTAACAATCCCCATATCTGCTGATTGGCTTCATCACTCCTCTCCACCAATAAGCTGGTTTGTGGTGGGCGTTCTGGCACACTATGGCTGCCATCGCATCATCCAGGTGGATGCTGCACACTGGTGGTGAATGAGGAGATACCCCCTGACAATGTAAAGCGCTTTGAGTGCCTAGAAAAGCGCTATATAAATGTAATGAATTATTATTATTATTATTATTATTAAATAAAACTAGGTTGCTGCTGGAAGAGGTGTTAGTGAGGCCAGCAGGGGGTGCTCACCCTGTGGTCTGTGTGGGTCCTAGCGCCCCAGTATAGTGACGGGAAAGCTATACTGTTAAAAAGCACCGTCCTTCGGATGAGACGTTAAACCGAGGTCCTGACTCTCTGTGGTCATAAAAAAATCCCAGGGTGTCTTTCGAAAAGAGTAGAGGTGTAACCTCTGCATCCTGGCCAAATTTGCCCATTGGCCTCTGACCATCATGGCCTCCTAATCATCCCCATATCTACTGACTGACACTCTCTCTCCTCTACAGCAATAAGCTGGTGTGTGGTGGGCGTTCTGGAGCACTATGGCTGCCGTCGCGTCATCCAGGTGGATGCTGCACACTAGTGGTGGATGAGGAGATCCCCCTCACAATGTAAAGCGCTTTGAGTGCCTAGAAAAATGTTATATAAATGTATCAAATTTGTATTATTATTATTACTACTGTAATTTAACTATAAACTTTTAAAAACCTTTAAGTTTTTCTTAAGTTTTCATCTAATTTTTATATTTTATTACACCTTTATTTTAATTATGATTTCTAATTGTTTCAGTTTTTAGATTTAGTTAACAATAATACTGGTTAACTCAGTAAATGATTCAACGACATTCCAACCTTTCTCCATTATGGAGTTTTGGTTCCTTGCTGCTGTCGCCTCTGGCTTGCTTAGTTGGGGACACTTCATTCACTTCATTT